GTGGTTGCTGTGTGTGTGTGTGTGTGTGTGTGTGTGTGTGTGTGTGTGTTTTGTGTGTGTGTGTGTGTGTGTGTGTGTGTTGTGTGTGTGTGTGTGTGTGTGTGTGTGTGTGTGTTTGAGGTCGTTGCGTGAGTGTGTGAGGTTAATAAATGTGCCGTCGTCAGCGTTTGCAGCACCTGTGATCAGTTTGTGTTCAACATAAGCAAGCACACAGCCTGAGGGAGCAAACACACACGTATGAACACACAGCGCCGTGTTTTTGATGCTCTCAGTGTTGGTGAGCTGTATTTCAGTGCGTCAGCTGCATCTGTAGGAGTCTGTTTTTCTGTAAAACGTGAATCTGGAGCACTGAAGGATGCTGGGAGGATACAGAGACACCGAGAGTGTAAAATAGGCCAGAGAGAGAGAGTGTGTGTGAGTCCTTTAGTTCCCCTCACACACACACACACACACACGGTCAAAAACACTCGCCAAGAATAATGTGAGTAAAAATGCGGATTACTGAGTTAGTCTCCATATGTTTGCTAACCATCTGCTCAACATTTATTAGGAACACAGCTTTAAATGAACTGTAAGAACAGCAGTGACTGTCAGTGACGAGAGGGATTCACTGGCTAATCATAAAAACATCTGCTAAAGTCCTCTAGCATTAAAAACATTTGAGGAAAGAAGTCTTCTGCGCACCAAGGCTGCATTTATTTAATAAAAAATACAGCAAAATGCTGTAAAAAAACATTTCTGATTATTATCAATGACGAAAACAGTCGTGCTGCACAATATTTCTGTGGAAACTGTGATGCATTTTATTTTTCAGGATTTTAGAATGTTCAAAAGAACAGCATTTATTTGAAATGGAAACATTTATAATACTGAATAAAATAAAATAAAAACATTCAGTTCTTTCTAAATAATCTTACTGACAGCAAACTTGTGAATGGTTGTTCGTCTTCACGTTCTGTCTCTTTCTCTCTCGCAGGAGACTAATGAAATCGTGGCCATTAAGAAGTTTAAGGACAGTGAAGGTGAGTTAAAAAAGCTTCTGTTTGCAGGATCTGTATTCAGAACAACTGAACTGGAGCTGCTGCGAGTCCTTCATCTGACCTGATTTACTTCAGCGCTGAACAGACAAGCAAACCAACATCCAGAATTAGTGTCGCGGCCGCTGACCGACTGTCTGTGACATCATGATGCAGCTCATGAATATTAATAAGGATGCATTAATTATAGATACTGTAAGCACATAAACGTGTATTAATCTGAAGACCAAGTAGAGCATTTGTTCTATATCATAATAATAATGATAAACATAAACAATTTATCATCAAATTGTGAATAAAAATTGATATGCATTATATTTGCTTTTTTATTTACAACTTTATAGAAGAGCATTTGTTCTATAAATATTCTGTATCAGAAAAAAATATGTAAAATAAACAAGTTAGCATCAAATTACATAAAATGTTTTTAATTAAGGTTTTAATTTGCACGTCTTTGTACTCTGTTCCAATGCTGCTAAAACAACAACTATTAAAATCATTTTTGTTAACTGAAGTAAAGGTGAAATAAAATAAATGGTATAAATATTAGATGAAAAACTACATTGGAAGTGATTAAAATAAGTTTGTTAAAGCACTAAAATTTCTAATTGTAAATAAATCAAAACAAAAATAAAAAATATATTAAAGTTGAATACTTAAAATATATTTAATAATTTAATAAATTAAAATTAAATATGACAATTTAAAAAAATATATGAAAATAATATGAAAATTAAATAGTTAAAATGAAACCTGAAAATATAAAATAAAAGCCTATAATTCTATAATCAGTATAGAAATAATACTAAAATAACTGAAATAAAATAAATGATAACATAAATATTAGACTAAAAACTACATTAGAAATACTTGAAATAAGTTTAAGTTGAAGCACTAAAATTACTGACTGTAAATAAATTCAAACTTAAATACTTAAAATATATGCATTTTTAAATTAAACAATTAAATAAATAATATGACAATTAAAAATAATATAAAAATTAAATAAATAAAATTAAACCTGAAAATATAAAATAAAATTCAACTCAAAATATTAATAATCAAAAACTATAATTAATATATAAATAATGCAAAAAAACACTGGTTACTTTTAAAAGTAATGTTTTACATTGTGTTACAACTGATAGAATGTAACATTGTTCTTTTTTTAATTGAAAGTGACAAATCAGTTTCAGTAATGCTTGTTTATTTATCGTGGCTCTTGGTTCAGAAAATGAGGAGGTGAAGGAGACGACCATGCGTGAGCTGAAGATGCTCCGCACGCTGAAGCAGGAGAACATCGTGGAGCTGAAGGAGGCGTTTCGGCAGCGAAGGAAGCTGTACCTGGTGTTTGAGTACGTGGAGAAGGTGAGATGAGACGGAGAGCGCTGAGATCTTCGGGCTGTGTTCTCCTGATGTGGTTTGTTGAGATGATCGTGTGTGTGTGTTGTAGAACATGCTGGAGCTGCTGGAGGACATGCCCAACGGAGCTCTGCCGGAGAAGGTCCGGATCTACATCTACCAGCTGATCAAAGCCATCCACTGGTGCCATAAGAACAACATCGTCCACAGAGGTGCGAGACCACCTGCAACCAAAGAAATTATATTAAGAATATGTTGATTATTTTATTTCATTTTAATCATCGTCCACAGAGGTACAAGACCACCTGTAATAAAATACATTTTGTAATTTTTAATTAAATAAAAAATGAAATTAATTATATTTTAATTGTTATTTCGTTTTAATCATCAATAAAATAAAATAAAAAACATTATATTTTAATTAAATGTATAACTCATCATCCACAGAGGTGCAAGTCCAACTGTAATAAAATACATTTGAACATTTTTAATAAAATAAAAAATTTAATTATATTTGAATTCTATTATTTCATTTTAATCATCAATAAAATAAAAAACATTCTATTTTAATTACATTTCTTACGTTTAATCATCATCCACAGAGGTGCAAGTCCACCTGTAATAAAATTAATTATATTCTAATAAAATAAAATGAATACATATTTTTTTTAATTATATTATTTCATTTTAATCATCAATAAAATAAAATAAAAAACATTATATTTTATTTATATTATTTAATTTTAATCATGGTCCACAAATGTACGAGACCACCTGTAATAAAATAAATTATATTTTAATAAAATGTATAAAAAATTATATCTTTTAATTATATTATTGAATTTTAATTAATCATTGTCCGCAGTGGTGCAAGGCCATCTGTAATAAAATAAAAAAATAAAATAATGATATATTAATAATTATAATATTAATAATTATATTTTAATAAAATAAAAATAATAAATTATATTGTAATTATATTATTTAATTTGAATCATTGTCAAATGAAGTATAAGACCATCTGTAACAAAATACATAATTTAAAGAATTTCAATTAAAATATATATTTTTATTTGATTAAAATATATTTTAATGATATTATTTAATATTAATTATTGTCCACTGACACATATTACACATGCATGATGGATAGATCTGTCTCTCTGGCTTTCTAGATATCAAGCCGGAGAATCTGCTCATCAGCTCAGACGACATGCTCAAACTGTGCGACTTCGGTGAGTTTCTGTAGTCATGTGATCATGATGCACCAATCTCTGAGCTTCTATCTGGATTGTCCAATGTGCATCACAGGACTTTATGTGGTGGCCACGCCTACATTCTGTGCAAATGATGTGGGCGGAGCAAATCCTAATTCTCATACTGTCCTGTATTAGACTCAAGTGTGTGTGTGTGTGTGTGTCTGTGTCTGTGTGTGTGTGTGTGTGTGTGTGTGTGTGTGTGT